ACAAAGATATATGTACATTACCAGCCAAAAGTTTGACCGCGTCTAATAAAACAAGTTCGAACATAAAATACAACTACGATGATTCTCTAGATATATATTTGAGGCGTACTACATATTTCGTACTATATCTCGATTCCTCATAAAATAGTAAAATTAAACCTCCTTTGAAACATTTCATAATCAAATCTGCCAGTTTAAAAAAACTGAAAGATGTGTTATTAAAATTCCATTTTTGTAATAAAGACATTCCCTGCCATTTCTCGACAACTCATTAAAGAGAATTTTCCCGAAACTTTTGGACGTTAGAGTACACCTTAACACCAGGGCTGCACGCGTATTCGTCTTTCCCAGGTGAAAAAGCGAGCTCTTAGAGCGGTATGTATTTCGCCGCTAGATTCCCCCAAGATTCTTATAGAAACCTAACACCACCGTCCCGTAAATCCAGGGACTGACTCCGTTGCCACCATCCGAGACGTACATAGTTAGCTGGCCAAATATCTACAGGTTGTTCATTGTCCCGCGCGTGTTGCTCACTACAAACGTGCTGATTTCGTTAGGCGTGTCCCTGGCCGAGAGCCAGGACATTTACACCGTTACAGAATCCACGAAAGTTTCGGATTTTCTCGCACCAGGTGTCTACCTCACGAAGACATAAACGACTCTTGGACTTGAATTCATAATATCATAATTACTGATCCTAATTTGAAGATTAATACCAAATATGATTTGTATAAAGATAAATGCTCCATAATTGAAATAATACTTGAACAGAAATATTTTATTCCTTTAACGTAAAAGAGATTATTGTCGAAACGACGAAACGAACATTAAACATTTTTCAGTTCACTCATAAATAAGATCGTAAGATGAACAACATACACTATACGGCAAACATTAATTCTACATGAAATTCGTAATCACCTGGAAATAAATCGATAAAAGGTGTAGCGTTTCTCTGGGCGCCCGTAAATTTCCCGCGTAGCGCCAGGACTTAATAGGCATTATGCGCAATCCGGGTTTAATTCGATAAAACTAATAGCCGCGGTTGATGAAGGACGAGAAAAAAAGACGCATGGGAAAACAGGATGGATATAGTTCGTTTCCTCCAACGCAGGGACACGACAAAGCCAGTGTTTAGATTAATATTCGGTTTCATCCCTCCCCCACCCTTTTTCCCTCCTCATCACCGTGATATTTCTGCTGGCGCATCTGACATTCCTACTTATATCCACCTATTCCTATTAGAGATGTAAATGCGGTAATTTTGCGAGGTAATTACTGGCCTCGGCTTGAAAGTAATGCCTTTGAACGAACGGGGGGACCTACCAACGCGGTACTACTACTGCCCACCGTGTTACCCTGAAATTACCGGATGACGCCCGAGAGCACCTTCGTGTTTCCTGAATTAACGTTTCAGCTTCAGCCGAACCTCTGCAACGGCTAATTCTTTTCCCCCCTCCATCACGACGTGAACATTTTTAATTACTACTCTCCTTCCAGACGGTATTTTTACCGATCGATGAACGGGTAATTTCTATATAACTCAAAGATAATAGAATTAATTTATTTATTACGTACGAAACGTTCAACTTTTATAATTTTCATTATGCCCGTATACTTATCTATTTAATAGTTACGGAAGCGATTATAGATATCGAATAAGGTTATCGATTTCCTGTTCCTTACAATTAGAAACCGGAGGGATCATAAACGTTATTTACAATTGGGAACAAAGAACGTGAAAAGAGACGCAAATGCTCGGCAGCATAGTTGAAAGAAAAAAGGTGGAGGGTATGACGACTTCACAATGGCGAACGAGCAGGAAATTGTGAGAGTCTCGGCAAGGAATCGATACTGTGTCGGGACGTGAGAAATCCGAACGACTGGCGTCCTACTGCCGCGAAATTGAGTCCATTATCGCTCTGGCCAGGTACCCTCCAATATCATCGATATTCGTTTAACGCATCGTTTCTCTGCCAGGGGTGTGACAAACAAGGGTCCAGCGCGAGATATACAATTTCGAGAACGAGATCAGACGGCGGAAAAGAAAAGGAGAAAATCTATTCAAGCTGTCACTGCGAAACAGAATTGAGAAAAAAAAAAAGGAGAAATGGATGATAACCCATGACTTTCAACTCTGGCTCAACCTACTCGGCTGATAGCCTTTTTCTGCCTTTTCCTCTCCCTTTCCCCCAGTGGCAAAAGAACCAGAGGAACGAAGGTACTCCTCCTCTATGATTAAGGGAAAAACTTTATTCATGAATTCAACCGCATCTATTATACCCGCACGAATAAAATCTATCCGCGAACGATTCTGCGCCGATTCGTTCTTCCCCTGTGAAAATATTGAAATTCTATAATTGCCCGGTCTTTCCAAGTTCACGAATCGCAGTAAATAAACCTTCCTACGTGACACCTCGTTCCACATGAGACTGACTCATTTTAAAATAAATCTATATGAAAGTAATCATACATGAAATTATCTAAATTTGTTATGGCTGACCAAGGCCAAGGATACTTTCAATTTTCTTCACTGTTTTATACTTCTTACACGGTGAGGAATTTCTCAGTAGTATATCCACGCCGGGGCGAAGAGACGGAATAAAAGGAACTATAATTTACTGTAGGAGGGACGTATACATATACGCGTTGACACGGCTGATAGCCAACTTCTCTGAGGAGTTGCAAGAAGAAACTGGTCCATAACGTAAAGAAATTGATCAAGGGTTCCTGTGTTCCGAGAATAACGCCAGGGAAGGGTTCGTTGAGACGAAGTCAACGGGCAGCGGCGGAGAATAAACATCAGGTGGTCAGTTCTCGCACCTTTCATCGTGAATAGTCGAGAGAGCTCCGGCTACGCCTCGAATCCCTCACGGTTCGCGTGTTTTCTCGTAAGTTTACGCGCCATTGGCCGCCAATCCTCAGAATGAAACTGCCACCGCCGCCGCCGCGTTGCTGAGTGGATTCTCAACGCGCGACCTGCTTCGAGAACCGGAGACGCGAAAAAATGTTGCAGAAGACGGAGGAACGAAAGGAAAAAACTAAAGAGAAACGGGAGGAAGAGCTCCGAGGGAATGAAACAACCGTATATAACAGTCACGATCCACGGGCGACGAATAATCACATTTAACACGTCCGACGATACCGCCGAACAATACACCAACCGTCTTTCATACAAATATATTACACATTGTATTCCATTGACAACGGTCGGACTGTAAACGGCGATATTACCGCGCGGCAAGCAACTTGAAGCTTTACAATGCAACTTAGAAACGGACTATCGTGCGCCCCACGGAACTGGACGTCTGCAAAGTTACGGTATCGTGCAATCTACCACTCGGTGCAAACGCTTCTGCTTGCTACGTGTTCGCACGTTGTTGATGACTAAGTACGATCTGTGATTACTATGTTTAAAAACAGGCAAATTCGATTCTTTGCTTTGCAACTTCATCGTTCAGCAAATGGAACTTCTTTAAAGAAAATATTTGACTAAATATGTCTCTGTTAAATGAAATTCAATCATTTCCTATAAAATATTCTAATTGACGCATAACGTGATCACGAGTCATAAATGTAAGAGTAGTGATATTAAAAAGAAGTGTATGTCTCATAATATTTAATATACATTAGGAAAGAGGCTCTTAACGATTTTAAAGATGTACTTTCCCAAGTTTGATTAGAAGCTTCGTGAGTTTCATATTAAACTTACGGGAAATATGAAGAGGATCCTTTAGTATCTAGATAAAAAGCTTTTATGCGGTCAATAAACAAACTTGCGCAAATTCGGTCGTTCCGGCAACAATGTCGGATACAATAAACAGTCCGCCCCCAGCGACGCGTTACGATTTAACGTCCCCGATATCACACTTTGCCGAGTATAGAAGGCGCGGGAACACATCAAAGTGCAGTAAAAACCTCGAACAATAAAACATGAGACTTCGCGGTAAATCTTTTTCTGCTAGCCCGTCTCGAAATGTCTGAGAACTTCGCGACAGCCATCGGAAGTTATTCCACGATATTACACGGCCGTTCTTGACGACGCCATCGAAACAGCGAAACGTAAAAGCAAAGACCAGATTAATTCTGAAAGTGAAAGATATTCTTTCAAACAGGATTTATCATGTATCTTCTTGTCATGTAACATTATTATACGCTTTGTCTATTAATCATGACATCGACTCATTATCTCGACTTGTGGATCGAAGCAGAGTCGAATCAATCATGATGCTGTCGTACATATAATCTAAATTGGAGCGTAGCGAGAATAAATGATTACCATACACATAATTAGACATCCTAAGACGTGTCTCATCGCGACTCGAGAAACTTCGCTGGGAAAGAGATCATTGTGACTGATAACTTTTCTTCCTTTCAACAAGATCTCGTGGGAGGAGCCGCAAAGAGAAAAAAGGAGTAGGTACGGCAAGGAAGATAACCGCGAAACTTTCAGTTCGTTCTCAATATGAAGACTCGGTGGTGAACAAAACTAGGACAAACTTTAGATGAGAGAATATCGACGAAAGGAGACACTGTTATTCTCTTCACGGGGAAGGTTACGGAGGGAGAGCACCGCGACGAAAGACGTTGCCAAAGAGGCACAAAAGTGATGATTGCACTGTACAAACCTACTTAAACGCAGTATTCTTAAATCATTATTAACTATCTTCCTCGCAGTTCCTAACTCGAAGTCAGAACAAGTCGTAAAGTAATGATCTTCAGTGCTGACTTGGAATTATTTATACAATAGAACGTATCAATTATATCAAAACGAATGATACTTTCAGCATCATTAAACACTTCCCGCATAATGTATTCATTAACAGAGTGAAATACATGCGTCACTTACCTTTAGTCGAAAGTCGTTGACAGTCCACACCCGGCTGGCGTAGTCGTTCGATGCTCCAAGGATCAGCGTCCCCGTGGAATCAAAATCGACGCACATCACTCCTGCATTACTGCCAACGAGAATACCTTTGCTTTCCGAGGCACCTGAAACATATAAGGTTCGCAATACATTAATAAAAATCATCCTCACGTCAATTAAAGTTAGTGAAAATTTCGTCGATTCTGTATTGATAATTAAATATAAAATCCATAACATTCGATAAGGATCAAGCATATGGAGCTTCTATAAAGATTTGCTCCGGTATTTTAATCGTTTCCGGAACACATATTACTAATTTATTTTCCTCTTGCTGGTACTATTAATCAAATTAGAATTTTCTGTACGCTAGTCAGCAACAGATGATGTACGAGTATCGTTGAATACACTGAAAGGAAGTAAAGAAAATCGACCACGAGTAAATTAAAAGAACCGGTAAAGGGTAAAATAGAGTATATAAGAGAAAGGGGGGGAGGCGGGAGGCTGTGCTAGGAGCCTTTAGAGAAGCGAGTTAAGCGGATATAACCCGAACAATAATCCAATTTCCAACGTGGCACGAAGATTACATTCAACCACGTTATAGCACGTGTGATCGTTCCGCTGCAGCAGGGAAAACGTTTCTAGCGGCGGACAGGATTTTAATAGACACCACCCCTATGGCTCGTCTATACGCTAACGCGTCCCAAGTAACCTGTTGATTCGTTAACATGGTTCATTCATTGCGCAGAAAAGAGCCTTCCGCTTGAGTATGTCGCGACACGCTTCACCTGACGCATTATCATCTATTCCTGTTCACGTGACATCTCCCTACTCTTACTACTACGTTTTGAACACTGTAGTCAAGTGTGCGCTCTAGACCTACAATTATACGTGCAGAACAAAAATGCATAAAACGATTGATGAGATACGCGACGGTGGGACAGCAACAGGAAAATCAAACTTAATAACTATAAATATAATTTCAAACAGCTCTAATGTTCCATGGTGTATTACCGAGCGTAATAGCTCGTTAGAACTTAGAGCTTTTTTTTCGGTTAATAGGAAGTCTCCCATGCACGTATTCATGAATAAAAGATGATAACAAAGTTTTAATTACTCCATTATAATAAACTCTAATGAGATTTTAAACTAACTCTCGCATCGCTTAGTTAAACCGATGTGTCTAGCTAAAGAGAAAATTTTGTATCTGATGAAAACATTAGGCCAACGCGGACACAATATAACTCGATCGCGCGAGCGTGACACGTTAAATTAATTACTCGTATTTCAAAAATTTCATTAAACTTAGAGGAGATTTACATGGAGATAAATGCTGCGTGAGTTATCCGTGCTGCTTGATATTAATCTAATCGTAAACCCTCGCGAAGTCTAACGAATTGGCGATAAAGCGAGACTCGCAGCAGAAACGAGAGTTGCAATTTGCACGATCTATTGCGGGTCGTTACGAAATTAAATAAACGTAGGGGCTACTAAATAGGAGACCTCGATGTTTGCACGCGATACTTGCGTAATCAGGAATCATTAAGAGAGGCGCTTGCTCGTCTTGATTAATTGCTATCCGCGACGCATACGTTACGGACTATTTAAATCTTTGACGCCCGCCGTTCCGATAGTAGAGTTTATTGCACTTAATCACCTTTCGAGATATTCCAGAGCTTCACTTTCCTGTCGGCTCCGCCGGTAGCGAGGATCCTCTCGGCGGGAGACCATTTTACGGCGAAAACTTCTCCGTCGTGTGCAGTCTGCAAGGGTTATTAAACACTTGACGTATAAATTTCGACAAGCCACAGTGCGTGCATGAGGCAATAGTTAATATATCAAAGCGCGCTGATTTATATCCATTCAAATTTGATTAACGCTATTCGCAAGACACATTATACTAAATGATTCTTGTATTTAAAGACAAGTGAGCTCTTCATAAACTGACATGTTTAAGTTTCATAAAAAAAATGATAAACAAATTGTAAACATAAATTATGACAACTGCATTAACATTTCTATGTAATTTGTACGTACATATTTGATGAATTTTCAAAATATATATGTTTAATAATATATGTAAAAAGATAAAAATTATAATCCTGTTAGAAGTGAAAACTTGGAAATATTGCAATGAATATATAACTGATAATAATTTCTCATGCATAAAACGATCATTCGTTTGCTTATAGTGTGCAATATAAAGTGCATTAATAGTTGTAAATAAGTATAAATTATTACGTGCGTACATGTGATATACGTTCGGTGAAAGTCAATATTTTATTTAACGAAATGGTTGGCTCTGTACGTATTTTATTAGAATAAACTTCATTGATAAACTACCATTCATGATATTAAACTAGAAAATATAAGTACATAATAAGTCGATACAAAATATTATTATCTACGTAACTATTCCTCCCGTTCCAAACAATATATTAATGTGTCAAAATTATATTTTTCCATATATTATTAGTATATCAATGTGTACCTGTAAATATACTTAGCTTAAACATTGTAACGTTTCAGTAGGAAATTTAATTTCACGTACTATAAATATCTACGTTCTTCATCTTAAATATATACTTAACTAGAGAGCATAATGCAAAATATATTTTGGGTAATTGTAAATACTGCTAAAATATATAATTGTACAATAACATGTATATTGGTATTTCAATAACATAACATGCACAAGGGAGAATTACAAGATCGATAAACTATAATGATGCTCAACAACTGTATATAATCCCTTTAAATATCTTATTATATCATAAAGAGATAACTTAAGCCAAACAACATTATCCTGATTGACCTAATCTGCTTAAAACAATGAATATAATTTTTTCCTTGAAATTACATCGTTGCATAGAGAAAGCTTACAAATATCAACTACTTTCTAACTTCCACCCTTATATTTTATCCTTTATAGAAAACTAAACTCTCTAAGCGATTAATTTAATACTCTACGTGGTCAATACTTTCATGTATACATTTATAAAATCTAAGCAAGACGGCATATTATTCCTTAGGAATTTGCATTACAAAGAATATTCTAACGTTGTTCTATATCAGATATAAGAATCAATAAAACGAAAATTGTACTTTATAATAAAAAATTGTATCTTCACGTAAGATAAAATATTTTTATGATTAGGGCAGAAATCTTGTGAACGATAATTACTTAATTAAAACGTGTTTTCTATTCATGTCCGGCATAGTTCAGATTTTTAGATCTTCAATTTGTAGCT